AGCTTACATGCACATATTAGAAAAAAGAAAGATTAAAAATTAATTTATCATCCAACTAATGATGTTAGAACTACAGGGGAACAAAGGGAAAAAATAAAAGAAAACTAAAGATAAGCACAGAGGCCGGGCGTGGTGGCTCACGCTTGTAATCCTAGCACTCTGGGAGGCCGAGGCGGGCGGATTGCTCAAGGTCAGGAGTTCAAAACCAGCCTGAGCGAGACCCGTCTCTACTAAAAAAAGAAAGAAATCAATTGGCCAACTAATATATATATAAAAAAAATTAGCCGGGCATGGTGGCTCGTGCTGTAGTCCAGCACATTCCTAAGCAGATTGAGAAATAGGATGAGAATGTGTTCAATCATATCTGTAACATTTTATTTCTTTAAGGAAAAATAAATGCAAATGTACCAAATGTACCAGCAGTGTTCATGGATGTCTCTCTATTATTCTATTATTTCCTTTGTATAATTGAAATGTTTATGACATTTTTTTAAAATAGGGGAAATAGTACCTGTTCTGTCTTCTTCTATAAACACCAAAGGATATTTTTCAAATGTTCCGTAAACAGCTGTCCTGACAGTGGATGTCCACGGCAAAGCCTGCGGCAGAGGCAGGGAGCAAGCCTGAGTCTCTCCTGCCTGCAGTTCCTACAAGGTCAGAGTTAAGATCATTTTCAAGAAGGACTGCTGGCTCGAGCTGAAGTGGCATGTCGAAATGAATATAGCAGAGGTGTGGAGAGCCAGGAAGGGGAGCTAAGAAAGAGAGCCAAAAGGAGGGAAAAGGTACCAGGAAGATGAAAATGAGAGACCAAGGATCTCACTAGGTAGTATCAAAAGGGAGGCAACATAAACAAATTCTGGAGATGAAGGCCAAGGTCTGCAGCAGGTTCTTACGTGGGTTGGTGGGTCAGCTCTGTGTGATGGGCCAGGAGGGAACAGGCGGGATAGAGTTGCCGTTATTTCTGTTAGGATGTTACCCTGCAGTGCTGTAGGGTCAGGTTCGCTCGTTCAGGTAGCATCTTTGGTGATGCTTCTTACTCTTGAGTTTCAGACTGCATTTCTCGCACGCCGGTTATGTGTAGCATTATGGTCGTGGAGTAAAAATGATTGTGTTTGCCACTAGTTAAGAGCTTGGACTCAAGGGTCAAACAGACCAGAGTTTGAATCCTGGTTCTAAAACATAGTAGTTGTGTGCTGTTAGAAAAGCTGTTTAAGTTCTCTGAGCCTTTGTTTTCTCATCTGTAAGATGGGGCTAATGAAGGGGCCTCCTCCACAGGCGTGTTAAGGAATCAATTAATGGCATGGTACCTAATACATGAAACACTTAATGAGTGTTGACTGTTTTCTGGGAATAATAATAATAATAATTATAGCATGGTTCTATGAATATTGTCAGTCATCTAAAAGCAACAATATATTTTCCCAAAGATAGACTTTTTTTTCTTATTTCAGAGTAGTGTCAAGAAAGATAATATCTATTACCTGATTAATAAAAGGCAATTGGTGCTTTCCAGGCCAGTCCCTTTGCAAACAACACGTGCTGCAGTGTGGGTTTCCAGGCAGCAAGACCGTGTGCTCTGCTGACAGCACAATAGATGCCCTCAGCCTTGTCAAACCAGTCCGATCAGGACACAGGGCTTCAAGGAAATCTCTTTTAGTTCCCTCTCTGGCCAGGTCTATAAACCTAGGTAACTGAAGAAGCTGGCTCTAACACTTGGTAAAGAAAGAGAAAGAGAAGGAGGAGGAGGAGAAGGAGGAGGAGAGAGAGAGAGAGAGAGGAGGAGGAGGAGGAGGAGGAGGAGGAGAAGGGTAATCAGGAGAAAATGTATTCTGGAACTAGGTAGAGGTGATGGTTGCACAACATTCTGAATGTACTAGATGTCACCAGTGGTAAATTTATGACATGGATATTTTACCACAATAAAAAAGGGAGAGAGAGAATGCTGCAAGGCTGACCCCTGAGATTCACAGACTAATCCACCAGGTACAGACACAGAATTGCACTATGATCCCAGTAAAGAACAGAGGAGACAGTAGTCACTTGACAAATTGACAGAGATGCACAAAAGGTGTAAATAAGGCCAGGTGTGGTGGTTCACCCCTGTAATCCTGGCATGTCGGGAGGCCGAGGCAGGAGGATTGCTTGAGCCCAGAAGGTTCAGGCTGCAGGGAGCTATGATGACTCCTCTGAGCTCTAGCCCAGTGGACAGATTGAAACTCTATCTTTTACAAGCATCTAGAAGCTAAGACAAGAGAGAGAGAAAAAAAAAAAAAAAAGAATAAAAGAAAGAATAAGAAATAAAAAAGAAAAGATGAAAAAAAGAAACTCTATCTTGGAGGGGAAAAAAGAGGTGTAAATAAATCATGCATAAAAGATGAAAGTATTCTATGTCATAAATATGTGATAAAGTAAAAGTGACCTTTAGCCTATCAAGGCGACCTGAACCTGTATCTGTACTATCTCTAAGAAGCAAGTGTGTGCAATCCAGATTCAGCTTTATGGGAATAAATAAAATGTGATAAGTGCAAAGGCTGCCACTCTGCTGCCTGTGGCAATGGCAGTGTTGTTCTTCAGTCTGCTGTCTGGCACAGGACTACAGTTCCTAAGAATGGCATGAAATCTACTGACTCTTCTTCTCCCACAGTTAAAGTCAGGCATTGGTTATTTGTGGCTTCATACATTTAAAGTGCAAACAAGAATGTGTTAATTTTGACTGTGGACGTATAAGATCTTTTGCTATATGTTAAATGGTTTCCAATCCAACCTCACTTGGGACCTTCAAGGTTCAGCACAGGAAGGAGAATGTCTGTGGGGGAGAGAGTCTAAGTCCATCCCTATATATGCTATAGTCATTTATGGAGAGTTTAGCCTGTGCCCAGCTCTTCGCTGAGCTCATTCCAAATGTTATCACATTTAATTCTCACAACAATCCCATGGAGGCGGGTACTATCACCATCCCCATGTACCGATGATAGATCTGAGGCTTGGAGATCTTAAGTAACTTTCCCAAAGTCACATGGCTAATAAGCAATAGAGCCAGGATTAAGACTAAGGGTGGTGGTATAACTTTAAATCTTATACTCTTAACCACTAGCTATGCCACCTCTCTGTTCCACCTGAGTGGAAAACTCAGTTTCACCATGTCTTCTCCACCTTGGCTCTGCTTTCCCCTGGGATGGCTTTGTTCTCAAGCAGGCTTTGTCCACTTGGCAGCAAAGGTGGCCCTAGTGGCTCTGGGTGTGCATGGTTCTCAACACCTGTGATTCTAGGAGGACAGATGTAACACTTGTCTTGGGGAAGGCTGTGGTAGATTCCCTACAAAACGTGGCCAACAGTTCTTCCGTTTCCTGAGTGAGCTCCTCCCACCAACAGGTGGAGTCTATTTCCTTTCCTCTTGAGTCTGAGATGGTTTCTTTGACCAGTACTCCTATTCTGGGGCTTCTGAGCCCAGGCCTGTAAAAGCCTCTGCTTTGCTGTCTTGGAACCCAGCTGGCGTGCCATAAATATGTCCAGGCTATATTGCTGGAGAGAGGCCACGCAGACAGGCTCTGCAGGATGAAATGCCACATGGAAGGAGGTCCATGGAGAAAAATTGGGGCACCTCAGCTGACAGTCATTACCAGGGCCCCAGACCTTCCAGCTCAGCCCAGCTGCCAGCAGAATGTGGCTGCATGAGTAAACCCAGCCAACGCCACATGGAGCAGAAGAATGCCTGGTCGACCCCCGGAATCACGAGAAATAATAAATCATTGTTGTTTGAAGTTGCCAAGTTTTAGGATGGATAGTTATGCAGTAATTGGCTTGGCACGAGGAATGTGCCCATTTCTGAATATCACCTGCCCAGGGGCATGCAGACCTCTGCTGGGAAAGGTATGCTTTAACCTGTGGCCTCCCTCGGCACCTCGGTGCATACCCATAAAAGTGCTAGATGGAAAAAAACCAGTGTCCACTTGCTTTGTGTGGTTTGTGTTAGTGTAGTAGAAAGAGCAAGGGTTTTGGGCGTCCTGGATGTGAATACCTGGCTGTCCCTTTTTCCCTTTACCTGGCTGTTCCCCCTTTCCCTTTTCATGAGACATCATGAATAAGACATATCGCCTCTTTGTGTCTTTCTAAACATCAGAAACAATCTTAATTTTTCACGCAAGGTTCTTTTGTGGAGATGAAGTAAGATTTATTCCACAAACATTCACTGAGCTCTTTCAATAGACTTGCCACTATCCAGTACATTGTAAGCCCTTTGAGGACAAGCTCTTTGTACCATCCCTTTTTCTAAAGTTCCAAAAATATTTATCCATTGAATACATTGGGACAGATCGTGAACTGATTTCTGAAAATTTAGAGGTAATGGAAAAGAATGTGTACAAAACTACAAAGTGATATACAAAACTTAGTTATTTAAATTTTTAAATACAGTGATTCATTAAATCATTCATTAATTTACTAACTCTTTCCACTTCATTCCCAAGAGGATTTGTAGAAGCTTCTTTTAAAAATCATTAAATATGGCCGGGCGCGGTGGCTCACGCCTGTAATCCTAGCTCTCTGGGAGGCCGAGGCGGGCGGATTGCTCGAGGTCAGGAGTTCGAAACCAGCCTGAGCAAGAGCGAGACCCCGTCTCTACTATAAATAGAAAGAAATTAATTGGCCAACTAATATATACAAAAAATTAGCCGGGCATGGTGGCAAATGCCTGTAGTCCCAGCTACTTGGGAGGCTGAGGCAGGAGGATTGCTTGAGCCAGGAGTTTGAGGTTGCTGTGAGCTAGGCTGACGCCACGGCACTCACTGTAGCCTGGGCAACAAAGCGAGACTCTGTCTCAAAAAAAAAAAAAAAAAAAATCATTAAATATAAAAGGATAAAATACAGATAAGAAATTGGGGCAAAGGGAAAATAAAGATTAGGACAATGATTAATCTATAACTTAATTGCAACATAATCTATAACTGAATTACAACATTTAAAGCCAAGGTACACTGCATTGTTCTTATTGCAACATTGACTATTTTTAAGCTGGTATCTTCACTTAAGACAATTAATCTATCACTACTGCCAAGGTTTCTAGAAGCAATAAAATCTATTAAATTAGCCAACTGGGCCCGTTGCGGTGGCTCACGCCTGTAATCCTAGCACTCTGGGAGGCCTAGGTGGGCGGATTGCTCGAGGTCAGGAGTTTGAAACCAGCCTGAGCAAGAGCGTGACCTCCTCTCTGCTATAAAGAGAAAGAAATTAATTGGCCAACTAATGCATACGGAAAAAATTAGCCGGGCATGGTGGCGCATGCCTATAGTCCCAGCTACTCAGCAGGCTGAGGCAGGAGGATCACTTGAGCCCAGGAGTTTGAGGTTGCTGTGAGCTAGGCTGACACCACAGCACTCACTCTATCCTGGGCAACAAAGCGAGACTCTGTCTCAAAAATAAATAAATAAACAAAAATAAAATAAATTAGCCAACTGTAATTTTGCCATAAACAGAGCTACTCATATTTCATTGCACACTTCAATTAATTTCAGTTGGTAGGAAAGATCCTGTAAAACCTGCCTCCCTCCAGCCCCAGGTAGGTTGAATATAATGATCGAAAGGGAAGCAGTGAATACTAGTAGGTAAAAAAACTAGGAAGCAACTAGAAGCTAAAAACCAAGCTTTAGATTCCTGGCTCTGTCACTTACTAGATATGTGACCTTGAGCAGGTCACCTCTCTAAGCCTTTACTGATAAAGCCTTTCTTTATCAGTAAAATGGGTATAATAATAGTACTTACAACATAAGGTTGCTAGGAGAATTAAATGAGATAATCCACATAGCATATAGTAAATTTTCATAAATGTTAGCTTTTACCACCATTGTAGTGGACGGAGGATAGATTGTGGAAGGGTCTTTGGTTCTCAGGCAGCTGTAATTTTATTGTAAATTTGAGTAGGTGGTTATTAATGAGGACATTTTGATAGCAAGGAAATGCAGGTGATACCGGTAGTTTGAAAATTATTAATGTGCTTTTATATTTAGCTTGTCAGAGCACATGACTTTCACCTTAGTCTTCCTGAGGCATCCTTCTGCCTAGGGAGATTAAAAGTGTTACAGAGGAGTGCAAAGAGGAAATCCAGCTTCTGGCACTCAAAAATAGGATCTTTCTGCACCGCTGTAGCTTTGCAAGTCAGACCATTAAGAGAGGATTGCCTAGCTTGCTTTACCTCCATCTGTATTTGTCAAGGTCCAGGCTAGTGAGCGGTAGAGTTCCATATAGGAAGAAGAAGGGAGAAGAGGCTGCCCCTACTTGGCCCCAGCAGTATTGAGGGAAGAAGGATAAAGAAAAGGAAGTGAGGCTGGGCGCAGTGGCTCACGCCTATAATCCTAGCACTTTGGGAAGCCAAGGTGGGAGGATTGCTTGAGGTCAGGAGTTTGAGACCAGCCTGAGCAAGAGTGAGACCCCATCTCTACTAAAAATTTTTAAAAAGCTAAAAATAGAAAAAATTAGCTGGGGGTGGTGTCATGTGCCTGTAGTCCCAGCTACTTGAGAGGCTGAGGCAGGAGGATCACTTGAGCCCAGGAGTTTGA